GATTATCAGTTCCGCATCCGGAAATGGCAGTACGATGTAAACATATTTGTATTTATATGATGAATTGCACATTAAATCGTAGCAGTGGAGCACCTTGCGAAAGAGTTTGTCCAGGGAAGTACTGCCACCTTACCTATTTCTGCCTCAAAGTAGTAATGTTTGCAGTAAATTACTGCGTTCCGGTTTTGAAGGGTAAGGGTGCTGGTGCAATTACAGGCACATAAGAGTTTTCAACTTATGTCTCAGGGTGGTGGGCACAGATGCAGTGCACCTCAAATCTTAGCGATATAAAGCTTTGAGTGGCACTGCAACGGTTATAGACAGGCGTGTCATTTACCATCAGGCGCACGACTTGTTCGTCCCATCACGTAGTAACATCATAAAAAAATCCGAATTCCGTCTTCCGAAGTAGAGCATACCTTCAATTCGGATCACTATATGTGACCGAAGTCAAATGTAGACACACTGATTCGGTAATTATTATAAAATTTCTTGGTATCTTTCCTTATTTATCTTGGTCATTATAAAATGTTCCACTGAACAGTCGGTTCATCAAGAGTCAGTCTACTCAGAACTCTTTCTCTCTCTTGTGTACCTACATACAATAATAATGCCAAAAGTTAACAAACGACTTACAACTTAAACATCGCATGCCACACCAGAATGACCAGTAATTTGGATCTTTCGGTGTACAATAGGTACAAGTGACTTGTGCACTAGTACAAGCGACAATTGAAGTCAGTCCGACTTTTCTAGATCTGTATATTCTCGGATTCGGATTGGACGCAGTGCACAAACGCCCTTATTATACCTGAGCATGTGCAACAGCGATCTCTGGTGGCCATAGTAGGAATTAAAACATACGTCGTTATTTATAGAGGGCGCTACTCAAAGAATGACTCAATATTCACAATGTTTCGTAAAAAGCAACTGAAGGATTAGATTAGGATCACAGAAGATTAGCAGCATTTGTAAAGAAAGAAAGAAAGAAAGAAATGTAATTTATTCAGCACAATACACGTGGAGTACAATATTAATAATTATTATTAAAAGTGTATTATTGCACTGAAAAGGACCCAACTCAGCTAATACTGCGGCAGGGCCACAGCGCTGGTTTTCAGTGGACCCTTTTCGAAAATGCCGATTAAAAGAAATAAAAATATATGAATAAAATAAAAACAAATGTGGACGCGAGTTAAATAAAAACTTAAACATGAAACAATATAATTAAGTAGGAAACATAACACAAATTTCAGCTAATGTCCCAACAAAGATTGACTCTGCTTTTTCTTTTTAATTTTGTATTTTGAGGCGCATTACACAAAATTGTTCCAGACGTGTTTTGTAGATTTAGAATGTGCTCTTTGAGTTGACATTTGATTCGTAAGACATCGTCGTTCCGCAACCAAACGCCGCGATTATAACTTGAAGTTGAATTACTTTAATAACCTAACCATCTATTCACGAAGCGGTACCCTGTGGCCCAATGGGGATCATACCCAATCCATTTCTTTCAACAGTCTCAAAAAACTGATTTTCGATGTCCTGTAACGTGTGATCGCGTGCGTAATCTAACGGCAGTGTGTTCACGTACGCTACAGTTTGAACGCATGCGCACGCGTTTGTGTAAGGGAAGTCCCATACTTATTAAAGCGGTCAAAAACGCTTTATGTTCTTATAGATGTTCTTTCTTCGTGATGATTCTTTTTTGGTTCGAAAGGGAGTAGATAAAAAAAATTTAAGAAAATATTCCACCTCTAAGGGTGACGAATTGGGGGGTGGATCCGGTTTTTTCAATAAAACTTGACAAATAGATGTAATCCCACAACCATTTGAGGTCGGTTTTGTTAATAAAAAAGTTAATAATTGTATACTTACGTTTGACACTGAAGTAATGCTAATTTTAGTATAATATTACTTGTCACTAACAAAAGAGATGGCACATCGTATGCAAAAATAGCCGTTTATAAACATAAAACTTTTTAAATTTTCTTTTACCTTAACACATTAATCGCACCTTTAGAATGAAAGTCAGGTAATTAAAAAAAATATGCGTATTGAGTTTTATTCTACTGAATTTCTTATAGTCTAGTACCGTATTTACGCCACTCGGCAAAGCCTAAGTAATAATTACGAGATTTTAAGACCTAATTATGATTGCATACGATATACATTCTACGAGTCAATAAAATTATTTAACTGAACCAATATTTAATGTATACTTTGTCAAAAATCCAATAGCAATAAACGCAATTTTTTTTAAATAAATTTTACCCCATATTAGGGTAGGCAAAGGCACAACCTCTTCATATATTTAAACGAAAGCCAAAGAAACGCTACAAAACAAAAAACCAAAGAGATAGGGGGGCAAGATGGGGCACTTAACGTTTGAAGCTCAATAAAACTGACAATGATGTTTCTATATAAACTTATTTATTTTAATAATCACCTTTGAGAATCAGTCTTCAATAGTTAAACCGTTTTAACTTAATTAACACGTAAAAAATCATAAACCAGAAAAAGTAACATCACCCCATCTTGCCCCGTCCATGGGGTAAGATGGGGTATACTTAAGGGGCAAGATGGGGTATAAAACAACCACTTTAATTTAATACTCAGTAATCTGACAAAACTCGCATGTGATCGTACCATCTTCATCTTCTATGCCAGTACAACTACAGTGAGCCCATTTATAGCAAACAGAACAAGTAGCCAGCCTTTGTTTGAATCCAAATAGCGACCACTACAATATAAACAAGGAGTATTTTCAACATCACAGTCGTTGTTTTCGTTTAATGATATTGTTACTTTTTTCTTTTTAGGTACTCTTCTGGTTTTAGTTGCACATTTTTTCCAACTTTTTTTAATATTTAATTTCTTTTTTCTTTCGCTTATTCTCTTCCGCAAGCTACTTTCTTTTTGTCGTTTTGTCGTGAGGAAGTAATGACTGTGGATTTTCCTCATTTTCTAATCGTACAAGAAGTTTTTTGTGTTGCTGGGAAGGGCATTATTTGTTGGGAACTAAAACGGGGTACTTTGTGGGTACAAAGTACCCCGTTTTGTGGGTAGGGTTATCTTGCCCTTTCAAGCCAAATTTAATTTAAGTAAATACTAACAAAACAATACACGATATGTCAACGAATAAGTGCGTATCTGTTGGCGTAATAATTGACACTTAATACTAAGTTTAAATCAAATTCGAAATGGTATTACTGGTCCAAAGGCCACGTAGTAAGTAAAACTAAAATTCGGTACCAAATTGCTAAGACATTTTTCTTTTCGAAAACAGACAAAATAAGTTGTTTCACGACTCGGTCATTCTTGTTACTAACAGCTGTCATGGCAGTACGATGTCTGGCGTTAAAGCGATTGTATTTGGTCAATTCGTTCATAATTGAAAACCGAGTGCCCCGTCTTGCCCGTCACCCCGTCTTGCCCCCCTTTCCAGTACCGCATATATTTTAACCAATCATTTTGTTTTAAAGAGATTTATGATCCGGTTGCAAGACTTTTAGGCCAATTTAACCAATCAGGAGGCAGTATAGCGTTTGAGTAGCGCCATATTTGATATTTTAATTAGCAAAAATACGACTATCTTTTTTTGAAACTCGTTACTGTTCTGTGGACAGATGGTGGACAGAACTTAAATGAAAATTTTCTGGCCAGTGGCGAGTACCAATAGACATAGAATTTTGATTCAGAACCAAAAAGAGCGCCTATAGGATATGGTTTATGGAACTAAAATTGACAGATTAAAAGGAGTAGAAAAAATTATCTTTATTTCAAACTCGTCGTTTTGAAACTCGTAAAAGTTCTGTGTACAGAACGATGAAATATTTCAGCTCAGTGGCGAGTACCTATAGACAAAAGAATTTTGATTCAAAACTAAAAAGTGCTCCTTTATGATACAATTATAATTGACAGGAGCAGAAAAAATAATTGTTCATAACGTTGATCTGTAATTTATCCGTTAAAGCTTCAACGGCACACTCACTATACAAGGTGTAATCGTTAAGTGTGCCAGGCGATTATTCCATAAATATAAGAGATATCAAAAAGCTTTAAACTGATATCGAAAGTACGTTACCTAACGAGTAAACCGACATTAATAACTCTTGAAAAATAAAACTAGAAAAATCCGAAATTTTTCATTAAACGCTCCCATATATTTAAAAAGACATTCGTAGAGAGGTTTTAGTTTTTCTACTGTAAGAGTTAACAATAAGTTAACAGATAAATAATCTCAGTACAGAGTACTAAAAAAACCGACCTCAAAAGTACGTGGAATTACGTCTATTTGCTAAGTTTTATTGAAATATCCCCTAGTTCAGAGATAATAAAAATCGGTTCTCGCTACTCAAAGTATATCGAGAGAAAAACGCCTTGAATTGGAGAAATAGCAAAATCAACCATTAAAGTAATTGCTCCTAAATTAAAGTTAGGCGCTATTTATAAAAATGTATCTTCATGCGTGAACAGCCACCTTTCGAGGTGGATGATTTTCTTCAAAATGAAATGGGACTACTATAGAAGTACCCCCTTTCCAACAAAAAAAATCATCAAAATCGGTTCACAAATACCGAAGTTATCGCGTAATACATATACAAAAAAAAAAGAACATACAGTCGAATTGAGAACCTCCTCCTTTTTTGAAGTCGATTAAAAACTGCTACAAATAAAGTAATAAAACAATCTTTTGATTGAATAAAAATATAATGGCGTAGTCAATTATTTGGTAAATAAAAATAAATAGAATTGATCATTTTTGTAGTGTTCATCGACTCAATTTTATGTAAGATTAATTTCATTGCATGGAATGACTAATATAATAATAATATATAATAAACTAATATATAAGGACAGCGCTAACGCGTCAAATTAAATAAAAATATTTTTCATACAAAATGAATAACATTATATTAAATACAATCGACTTCTGCTCTCCCGATTACAATAAAATACTAAAATAATAATACAAAAAAAAAATTATAAGAAAATGAGACTTAAAAAAAATAGTAAATTTTGTTTCTCTTTTCTTTGTTTTTTCTTTTATTTGACTAACGGCGCCGCATTCGTATGATCGTCACCTGTCTGAGCACTTCTTCTATTCCTAGGAGGAATACCTTTGAAAATATCCTCGATTTCCTGCAAAGTTCTATCTTTGGTCTCAGGTAACATGAACCAAATGACTGTAAGGCACAATAAAACTATACCAGCGTAAAGACAATATGTTAAAGGCAATCCGATACTGCCATTTAACACTGGGAAGCATTTGACAGCTATAAAGAAATTTAAAGATAAACCTAATATACTTAATCCTCCTCCCAAACCACGGTATTGTAGTGGAAAGATTTCCCCCGGAATTGCAAAAGTAATTGCTGAAATACCCACAGTTAAAGAAAACATATATAATGCAATTAATGTTATTGGTATCCACTGACCATCAAACAGTAGTGTGTTATTCTGTTTTGCAAATACATAGTACGCCTTACCCAAGTAACAGAAAATACATAAACCGCCAGTACTGAAGAGTAAGAAACGCCGTTTCATTGTTCTCACCAAGAATATAGCAAGAACATTACAAATAAATCTTTCTATATCTAACGCAACCATCCAGAATTTGGCATTAGCCTCAGGTCCTACAACTTGTGTAATAATATCCATTGCATATGAACTTATAACATTAATACCAGCAAATTGGAACATGGTGTATGTTAAGAACATGACGGTGATTGGTTTGTAGAATTCAGGTTTTCGCGAAGCATCGCGAAGGTAGCTGCAGAACCTTCGGAATTTTCTTCCGAAGGATAAATTTACACCTTCAACGCTAGATGTTCTGACCATCTTTTTTGCTGAGATCATGTGTTCTAATTCTTCCTCCTGCTGTACGGTTTCTCCTCTTAACCGTAGGAAAACTATTCGACCCTCTTCAAATCTTTCTTTAGAAATCAGCCAGGATGGTGATTCTGGACTATAAATGACCAAGATTAAACTTGTGAAGGTCACAAATGAACATATCATAGCTGTGCATTGCCAGCTGAAGTAAGACCCTAAAGTGTGTGAAGTCAGAACTCCTGTAGTTAACGACAGGGAAACACAAGTAAGAAAGGCGCCTCTGTTTTTGGGATCTGTCATTTCTCCTATTATAATAGATCCCAACGGTCCAATCATACCCATGGCTAGTCCTTGTAGGAGCCTAGCTATGATAAGACCAGCAACGTTGTTGACTAGAGGCAGCATTATCCAGCCGATCATATTGGGGATGATGGTGAGGAGGTGACACTTCTTGCGGCCGAGCGTGTCCATCAATGGGGTGATTGTGATGTTACCCATGATGAGCGCGAAGCCGATCACTGATGCTGGAATTTGATAAAGATATCAGTTATTAAAAGTATACTATTATTTATTATTTATTATTACAATAAAATAGTAGGTTTATAGCACACATTAACTGTGATCATATACAATATTTCCTTAAAAAAATGCAAATACATGTATCTTTTGAAAAAAAAAAGCCTTTCGCCTGGTATTACACTTCCGTATCTACTTTTTTTTTTTCTTTAAACCCAACCAATATCTTTTAGTGTTGCCATTTTGTTTTTTAATTGATTATACCCAAATCAAATTGGTATCTTATTTTGTATAAATTTGATAGTTATTGCAAGTAGTAATAAGCATATTAAACTAAATAATTGATTATAATAATATAGCTTTCAAAGTAGGAACAGAAATAAATAAAATTAGTTTTAATAATAATAATAATAATAATAACGCACACACTCACGGTGCCATGGACACAGATGGAGGCAGAGCGGGCGGAGATTTTTTCTAATATTTCACGGGCTAGGATTTGGAGTGGGCCCCAAGTCTGCTAGGACCCTCATTAGGAAAACCTAGTATCGCGGCTGCCATGGACAACCACAAATTATACCCAAACTCACGAGAGAAATAAATGTAGGCCATGCAAATATTTCCCCCGGCCCGGGTATCGAACCTGGGACCTCAGCGTCGCAGTCCGGGTATGGTAACACATGGTAACCGTTCGGCCACAGAGGCACTTTGAAACATTGCTCGCAACACCGTGTTCATATTTATCACAAAAAAGACCAAATTAAAATAACTGTCAGGAGAAAATTAGCAAACGGTAATCTCCATGCCATTGATTGTATTGTTGTACATTGGTTTCATATTCAAGATTTTTTTGGACACTTGAATTATCGCCAGATATGAGCAACTCCTGTTTATTCTCTTTGTTATTGGACAAGTGTTTCTGCCGTTTGCCATCATACCTGCTCTGAGGCGTGGATGAAGATGATATGCTTATGAACACGTTTTGATTATTTAATTATTATCTGATATGACGTACCGATCCATGACTCTTCTGCCGGTGTGGCGTGAATGTGTGACTCGGGTCGCCGCAAACTGGGGATCAACACTGCGCTGAACCCGATCACGCAGCCGTGGCCGACAATGTTCAGAGACACGCCCGCTGTTATGAAGCACTGAAATTAGCACAACGATATAACATTAAATATGATATCATAAGTACGTACTGTCTACCTATTTTGGTCTGTCACTTGTTGACGGTGTTTGTCTGTGTGTTATCTGGCATCGTAGTAGCATGCAACCATTATATTTCTTGCCCAATAGACTACTTGTTTCTGGTATAGAGAACATTGAACGGATCTTCACTACAATACTGCGATTACAGCAGCCAACAGCAGCCAACTTCCCTGTTTTGTTGAAGGCTGTCTGGTATCGTGGTTGGCAGTTTGCCGTCTTGAGATCTAGATAAGCTTCTATCTTTTTATTTACAAAAGCTTTATTTAAAAACTTAACTAATTAAACGAAACTTTTATTTAACTTTAACTTGGACAAGACTTTTTATATTGACAACATGCTATGTAAACAACCATAAAATGTGTAAAATCGTCTATAAAAAAATAATGAAGTACTAATTACTTTCAAATGAGGTGACACTTAACGTAGAGGCGGTTGTTTATTCCGAAGTCAAAGGTAGAAGAGGTTATTGTGACAACAATAATGGCCTTCTTCGCGCAAGTTTCATGACAGCGGAAGTGGGTAACTGATTCTCGAGCAACTACGCATATTCACCATTATACACCAGATTCCAAGTATTAATCAAAACAGTGGATAGAATCTGGGTGTCCGGAGATGAAATGAGCTGGGAAAGTAATAGCGTGTATCTTTTGGGATACGAAGGGAATTTCGACGATAGACTACTGTCCAAAAGGTCAATCTATAATATTCTGTTGAAAAGATTTAGTGTGGTTCGAAAATATATAACGAGGGTTGACAAGGCTGTGGCTTCCTCCATCTAGATTAGCTCAGCTCTTTTACAAGAAGCTTTAGAAGCAATAGAGCTCCTTGTGAAAAAGTTCGTCCTGAGAAGTACTGCCACCTTTTTGTCTGCCACCTTTCTGTCGGCAAGCAGTAATTTGAGCATTGTGTAAACGGTTCTATATCTAATGTATACTGCAAAAAAACGTTTAATACAATGAGACTTGGCAACTTAGTGAAATTACAGGGGACGGGCGCAGTGGCAGTGCCCATCAGATCTTTGTGATTTAAAGCTCTAAGTGGCACTGCAACTGTTGTGGACAGGCGCGCCGCTTTCCACCAGACGCACGACTTGTTCGTCCTGCCACTTGGTAACATAAAAAACAACTTATTCGCCTGATGTAGCGTTTCAGATGTCCACTTGTTTTCCCAAGTTTAAAAAAAAAATTATTTACAATTAGTCGCCAGACTATAATTAAATTGTTTGAGTGATGTTAGCGTTTGAGAGCGAGGACGCCACTGCTTCAGCCTCTCCTAATCATCGAACACGTCTCCTTCAGGCTGTCTTTTCAGTCAGCCACCATCAACCAGTGCTTTAGCGAGAGGACTCTGATGAGCATTGAGCCGATCCCGGTGTTTACGTCTATATACGTCCATCACTTCTACAATCGTTGAAATCTCCAGGAATTCGTGAATTTCAGTGTTCCTGGTGTACCATGTGCCACCACTGATAGTTCGAAGGATGTTGTTTGTAGAGTGTGTAGAGCCATATCGCTTCAATATGGCACAGTGATGAGCTTGTTACTAAGAGACAGGGCGGACTGTCTAACCAGAAGCCATAACAAGTTTCTGAATCTGTTATTGAGTTCGTCTCTTTTGTGCTTTATATGTACCTTCCAAGTCAAACGGCGGTCAAGGTAAAAGCCCAGGTACTTGGCGCATGAAGTTTTAGGTAGGCTATCTACTCCAAGTTTCACAGGTGAACAGTCGCTTCTTCTCAGGGCGAAGGTAATATGTTTCTTCAACCAGGCAGAGGTAGCGTCTAGTTGCCTTTGTAGTTGTGCACTTGCTACGCTGGGGTTGGAACTGCACGACAGAAAAGCAGCATCATCAGCAATGTTGCGATAGCAACGTCGGGGGATTGAGGTAAGTCGCATGTGTATATGTTGTACAGTATTGGCCCAAGTTTGTAGCAAAACGAACAGATTTGTATACGTCATTCGAAGGTTAAGACAAATTACTTCTAAAAAAATTTGTTTGTTCGCTTGCCACGGCTACATCGCGTCGGTTCTGCGTTATGGATTAGTCATATGGGGCAATGTTATGTCGAACGAGCGTTTATAACTCAAAAAAGATGTATACGAGGAGTGTGCGGCATCGGCCCACGGGAATCTTGCAAGCTGCTGTCCGAGAATTTAAATATTTTGACTTTACCTTCCATGTATATTTATGAAGTTTGTAAATTTGTCAAAAATCAACAGAAATTAATCCACGCGCAAAATGAAACCCAGACAGACTTGTTGTTGAAAATATACCTAAATCTACACTCTGCTTAAAAAGTTCATATTACATGTGCATGAAAATTTATAATAGACTACCAATTGAAATAAAAAATCTGACATTTAAAAGAATGACAACTGAACTGTATAAATACCTAGTTAAAAAAGAATATTATAATGTAAATGACTACTTAAAACATTGACTTACAATTATATGGACGTCGGTCCGCGCTAAAAAGTGTCCGAACTTATAGGACGTTAAAATCGTATACAGAGCGTCATTCACGCTCTAGTCTTCGTTTGTTCAACTGACAGCGAAGCAAGCAAAATTAGACAGTACTGCGTTGACATTACAATTTAAATTCAACGTTTTAGCTTTTTCATATTCCTTTAAATGTCACTACGTTTAAATAGGTTGACTTGGGACATTTTTTTCGTGGTTTTTGTATTAGACCCGTCGTCCATTTATTTGTAAGTCAATGACTTAAAAGATAGAATTTAATTTTGCATGCTTTAGTTTAGTGGCTGAATAGATGAACTCAAATGGAATAACTGCCATCCTGTAAATAACCTATTCAATGCAAATAAACCTTATTGTATTTCAAGTACAGATCCCTGCGGCACGCCCGCACGACGGTTGAAAAATGCAGATGTTCTCTCACAATGTGTTACTTGGTAGACCCTGTTGTCAAAGTAGATTTGATTATGGGATAAATCGAGTGAGGAAGTAGAGTTTTAATTTTACACAATATTTACACAATTATTAATTACACGATCAAAAGCCTGTTAGACGTCGATGATAGCAGCGGAAGACTATTCTTTACTTTCCAGACACTGTCTAATTTTTTGGTAAACTCGGTGGACTTGTTGGATAGTGGAGTGTTGTTCACGGAACCCAAAATGATGTTGTGGGATTAGGTTACTTTCTTTTCACAACAATTTAAAAACATTTTTTCCCACAACTTTGACAGCAGAGGTGTGAGGGTGATAGGATGATAAGAGTGCATCCATAGGCTGGTTTTCCGTACTTGTGTATTCATTATTACTTGTGATACCTTCCAGGCAGTTGGTAAATGACCAATTCTCAATGTGGAGTTAAACACTGTAGTTATGAACACCAAGCACACCAAGCAAGCAGTTTTAAGGGGAGGCAAAGCTATAAGCGAGAATGGTGTCAAATTCCAAATCATCATTTTTAGAGCAGACGACGCTGACATATTGTAGGTGTACCGCAAAAGCCTCTGCTTTCTTTGTCCGATACACACGCGCCCATGTTAATCCTGTTTGAAGACGTGGAAATGATTGCTGAGGTTTATTTATGTTTTGTGTAGCTTTCCATAGAGAATATTCACCTTTACCCGACGGAGTCAAGTGTTCGAGCTTAGTTTTGAGAGACTCGCTTGCGGTGTCTTGCAGTAATTTTGTCAACTCCTTAATGGCCCTATTTAAGGCAGTTTTATGAGAAGACAGACAAGACTGGTGATATGCTCTTTTAAAAAAAAACGTCTTTTTTCCGTAATTTTATTCTTGATTAGCGTTGGTGCGCAAGTTGGTTTCAGGTTTGGTGGAATCACTGGAGTGTCTATCCAGACTGCGATTTGGAGCTGATTAGTTATGTAGGTGCACGCTTCGTCAATGTCTTCTACAGTTTTCATAGGAAGCTTAAGGTCGATATGGTTCTCCAGGTAATCACGGAACGAGTCCCAGTCGGTCTTTTGATTAAGTAGTTTTCTTCCTATAGTTTCACGCAATACAGCCGCAATGCTCAGTGTGAGAATGACAGGTGTGTGATCGGACGAGCTATCTAGACTTGATTCGATTGTAGTGTAGAGATGTGAAATGTTTTTTGTGATTAAAAATTCTAACAGATCAGGCGTTTTTTGGGCATCGGTAAATCAGTACGTTAGTTCACCAGACGATATTGGATAGCGATTGATGTCAATGCTCCGCTTTAGTTGCCTGCCTCTCGTTACAGTAAGTCGGGAGCCCCAGTAGGTACGAGTATGTTTGACGTTCCAATCACCACCTGCGATAAAGCGTTGCCCGAGTGTAGTAATGTAGTGTGCAGTAAACCACTGACAAAGTTATAGTGCCATCTCTATCCATTAATTTGATTGAAATAGCTTGCAAATGTTCCGTTACATAAAGTTCTAGTAGGTGATGTTTAATACATTTTCTGACCACCACAGTTGTCCCAGCGTGAGCTTTTCCGTCAGGGTGGGGAGTAACGTAGGTGCAGTAATTATTGATGTTTATAGCTGTTTTAGAGTTTGCATTTGACTGAGATGAGGACAACGTTAAGTCTGTAGCGAACAATGTCTGTTTCTAGTTCACATGTGTTGGGTGCAAGTCCATTGATGTTCCACGTTTTCCCAAGATGGAAATGTTTTAGTTTGGATTAAAGTTTTAAATGAATGACGGTTACAGCTGGTAGAAAATTATAAATTAGGATGAGAATTACAATGAGTTTTATTATTATACTTATTAAGTGACAAGATGAACAAGTCATATGTAGGCCTTGAGAAAAATAAATGTACGAAAGGCTTATCTGTTTTGAAACACAGATACCTAGAAAACAAAAACAAAGTTGTCATGTTAAATGAGTACCTATTTCTGTCTTAGGCTAATCACTTATGTCATGCCGCCCTTCACTTTTCTTTGAATGCATATCATTTGGACGTTTAAAGACAATGATAAGAAAAAGATTTGATGCGCTATTTACAACTTGTTTTTAGGAAGCATATAATTCATAATTTCTTAGTTTTTTTTTATGATATCAAGTGACTGGACGAACAAGTGCGCCTGGTATTAAGCGACACGCTAGTCCATAACAGTTACAGTGCCGCTCAGAGATTCAAATCGCAAATATCTGAGGGACCCTTACCCGTCATCGAAACCGGAACGCGTAATAATCAAATTACCGCCTGGCGGCAGAAGGTTGAAAGGTTAATAATAAAGGGTTCTCATTATTAATTTATACATTATATTTCATGCCCTATTTTCAGGTTTAACGTAGTTTTCGAGTAGGTACGTGAGATAATATGCTTTGTAATACCTTATAATCTGATGTATTTAAATAAAATAAACAAAGATTCAACAAACATCAACCCATTTATAATTTCCACTGCTGGACACGGGTCTCCTCTCAGGCGAGGTTCTAGGTCACAACGTGTGGTTGTGACAGGTTTTCTGAGAATTGTGAACTTTTTTCAACGTGCAGGCTTTATCACGATATTATTATATTAATGTGACGCCAATCATTTCTAAAAAATTTAAACACGTAAAAAGTAAAATCTAATTTAACTTACTTGTGTTTATTTTGACAATATATAATTCAACTTTGGTGGCAATAACTTCGTTTTTGGTGACGATAAAAATATTCTTTAAATTGAATACAAATCCTTATCTGCTAATCATATACCACATAAATGAAATGATTTCTTATCATTCTTTATCATTTTTAAAAACTTTTTTTAGCGACTACAATTACACCGACTAGATAAAGACAATAAATATATATTATATAATCTGATGTCCAGGTTTTGTAATGTGCTAACCAGACTGTAAATTATTATGACGTTAATTGAGTAATCAAATGTGTTTCCACCCAAACATTCTCATTTATTAGTGGGATTTTACATACCTTTCAAAAAGTAGACGAGTGTCTAGCCGAATTGGCTGTTTTTAAATATAATAAATCAGATAACACTAATTTATTCCTGTCGAATTGACACAGGAAACAAACGGTCCACTTGACGGCAACCTATCACACATTTTTTTAAGTACTTACTGGTACTAAGCTCCATGTGAAAAAAGTAATCCGGGAAAGTACTGTCACCTTACCGGTGAAATTGCAGGCATATGGGACTTGTCAACTTATGTCTCAGGGTGACGTGCGCAATGGCAATTCCTCCACAGATCTTAGCGAATTAAAGCTCTAAGTGGCACTGCAACTGTCATGGATAGGCGTTGCTTACCACACGACTTGTTCATCCCGACGTTTAATACATTAAAAAAGAACAATTGAGATACTAAGGATGTTTCCTTAATATAATTTAACATGTGTCTCTATGTTTCTTCTTACTTGCAATTGCAAACATCGTAATCATGGAATAACATAGTTGTGGTGGCTTATGGTTGTAAAGCGCTAAAAAGCGTCTGTACAAATCTTTATATTCGTGTAATAGCCAGGGTTTCAATGGCGGCACCATTACATCCGGGTTTATGGCTTCATTTTTGGTCGAAAAACTATTGCTCCAAATTTCTTTAATCTTTAGCTCCGACTGTTGTATTATGTTTTGTATTATAACTTGGTAAGGAATCAAAAATAAGATTTTAGTAAATGGAATTTGGAACAGCTCCGACTGTTGTGGCGGTCGAGCTGGAAGTGACCGTGGTATGAAAACAAAATGAGAAAGTGAAGGAAGATGGAATGGTAAAATGGTAAAATAATAAATGATAGGATACAAGCGGAGAGCGGCGATACAAAGAGGTGAGATGGCAGTGTAAGGAGGTCACACCGTCACATGGTGGCTTATCCAGGGCCTGTACAATTCACCATTACGATCAAGAATTTATTGGCAGTGATCACCGCTGATTACTACTCGGTACAAAGATCAACGGAAAAAGACCAGAGATTTAATGAACTGTCGGATTCTCTTACCATTGATTGTCTACCACGTCTTCGCTCTGTCTAATACACCCGTCAGAAGGCTACATTGGCTTAGAAGGTACAGAGACGTCCCATCGGAGAATTTACAGCTTCTGTTCTTACTTTGCTTGAGGTTCGAAATGTGCTTATTCCACCAAACTGGC